CATTACTGGCCTTGCCAGCTGAGGGCAAATTGCTTCTGGTGGGCTTTATAGACAGGGATGGATAAAAAGGCATTTGCCAAGTCAATGGCTGCATACCAGGTACTAGGATATGTGTTAATTTGCACAGGCAGAAGACAGATGGATCATGGAGAGTGACAGTGGATTATCATAAGCTTAATGAAGTGGTGACTCCAATTGCAGCTGCTGTACCAGATGTTGTTTCATTGTTTGAGCAAATTAACACATCTCCTAGTACCTGGTATGCAGCCATTGACTGTCCATAAAGCCCACCAGAAGCAATTTGCCTTCAGCTTTACTGTCCTACCTCAGGGGTACATCAACTCTCTGACTTTGTGTCATAATCTTATTCATAGAGACCTTGATCGCTTTTCACTGCTGCAAGATATCACACTGGTCCATTACATTGATGACATTATGCTGATTGGATCTGGTGAGCGAGAAGTAGCAAACACACTGAACTTACTGGTGAGACATTTGTGTGCCAGAGGATGGGAAATAAATCTGACTAAACCTCGGGGACCTTATACCTCAGTAAAATTTCTAGGGATCCAGTGGTGTGGGTCCTGTTGAGATATTCCTTCTAAGGTGAAGGATAAGTTGTTGCATTTGGCCCCTCCTACAACCAAGAAAGAGTCACAATGCCTAGTGGGCCTATTTGGATTTGGGGGGCAACACATTCCTCATTTGGGTGTGTTACTCTGGTCCATTTATTGAGTGACCCAAAAGGCTGCCAGTTTTGAATGGGTTCCAGAATAGTAGAAGGCTCTGCAACAGGTCCATTCTGCTGTGCAAGCTACTCTGCCACTTGAGCCATATGACCCAGCAGATCAAATGGTGCTTGAGGTGTCCATGGCAGATAGGGATGCTGTTTGGAGCCTTTGGCAGGCCCCATGGGTGAATCACAGCAGAGGTCTCTAGGATTTTGGAGCAAGGTCCTGCCATCTTCTGTAGATAACTACTTTCATTTTGAGAGACAGCTCTTGGCCTGTTACTGGGCTTTGGTGGAAACTGAGCATTTGACTATGGGTCATCAAGTCACCATGTGACCTGAGCTGCCTATCATGAACTGGGTGCTTTCTGACCCATCTAGCTTTAAAATGGGTCATGCACAGCAGCATTTCATCATCAAATGGAAGTGGTATATATATGATTGGGCTCGAGCAGGTCCTGAAGGCACAAGTAAGTTACATGAGGAAGTGGCTCAAATGCTCATGGTCTCCATTCCTGCCACCCTGCCTTCTCTCCCCCAGCCTGCACTGGTGGACTCATGGGGAGTTCTCTATGGTCAGTTGACAGAGGAAGAGAAGACTAGGGCCTGGTTCCAGATGGTTCTGCACAATATGCAGGCACCACCTGAAAGTGGACAACTGCAGCACTACAGCCCCTTTCTAGGACATCCCTGAAGGACAGCAGTGAAGGGAAATCCTCCCAGCAGGCAGAACTTCAAGCAGTGCACCTGGTTGTACACTTTGCATGGAAGGAGAAATGGCCAGGTGTGTGATTATATACTGATTCATGGGCTGTAGCCAATGACTGGATGGTCAGGGACTTGGGAGAAGAATGATTGGAAAATTGGTGACAAAGAAATTTGAGGAAGAGATATGTGGATGGACCTCTCTGAGTGGTCACAAACTGTGAAGATATTTGTATCCCATGTGAGTGCTCACCAATGGGTGACCTTAGGAGAGGAGGAATTAAATAATCAAGTGGATAGGATGACCCATTCTGTGGACACCACTCAGCCTCTTTCCCCAGGCACCCCTCTTATCCCCCAATGGGCGCATGAACAAAGTGGCCATGGTGGCAGGGCTGGAGGTTATGCATGAGCTCCCACTCACCAAGGCTGATCTGGCTACGGCCACTGCTGAGTGCCCAATTTGCCAGCAGCAGAGGCGCCAATACTGAGCCCTCAATATGGCACCATTCCTCGGGGTGATCAGCCAGCTACCTGGTGTCAGGTTGATTATATTGGACCGCTTCCATCATAGAAAGGGCAGAGGTTTGTCCTCACTGGAATAGACACTTACTTCAGATATGGGTTTGCCTATCCTGCATGCAGTGCTTCTGCCAAGACTACCATCTGTGAACTCACAGAATGCCTTATTACCATCACGGTATCCCACACAGCATTGTCTCTGACCAAGGCACTCACTTTACAGCTAAAGAAATGTGACAGTGGGCTCATGCTCATGGAAATCACTGGTGTTATCATGTTCCTCATCATCCTGAAGCAGCTGGGTTGAGAGCATGGTGGAATGGCCTTTTGAAGTCACAATTATATTGCCAACTAGGTGATAATACTTTGCAGGGCTGGGGCAAAATTCTCCAAAAGGCCATGTATGCTCTGAATCAGTGTCCAATATATGGGATTGATTCTCCCATAATTAAGATTCACAGGTCCAGGAATCAAGGTGGAAGTGGAAGTGGCACCACTCACCATCACCCCTAGTGATACACTAGCAAAATTTTTGCCTCTTCTTCCCACAACATTATGTTCTGCTGGGCCTAGAGGTCTTAGTTCCAGAGGGAAGAATGCTGCCATCAGGAGACAGAACAACGATTCCATTAAACTGGAAGTTAAGATTGCCACCTGGACACTTTGGGCTCCTCCTACCTTTAAGTCAACAGGGAGTTACAGTGTTGGCTGGGGTGACTGACCCGGACTATCAAGATGAAATCTGAAATCAGTCTACTACTCCACAATGGAGATAAGGAAGAGTATGCATGGATACAGGAGATCCATTAGGGCATCTCTTCGTATTTCCATGACCTGTGATTAAGGTCAATGGGAAACTACAATAGTCCAATCCAGGCAGGACTACAGATGGTCCAGATCCTTCAAGAATAAAGGTTTAGGTTACTCCATCAGGAAAAAAGCCATGACCTGCTGAGGTGTTTGCTGAAGGCAAAGGGAGTACAGAATGGGTAGTAAAAGAAGGTAGTCATCAATACCAGCTACAACCATGTGACCAGCTGCAGAAATGAGGGCTATAACTGTCATAAGTATTTCCTCCTTCTTTTGTTAAAAACATGTTTATGTGTGTATATACTTGTACTAAGAAACTATTTTCATTTTATTTCCTTTTCCTTTATCATGTGACATAAGATTTATTGACTTCGTATCAGCATTTAAGTACTGTTAACTTTATGTAATAGGATTTGGGTTGGGGATCAGTGCCTTTCCGGTTGTACAAGGGATACTCGTATTATGTTAAGTGTAATTATGACATTATTGTTTTTATTTGAAGATTATGTATGCTCTCAGGAGATGTGTTCAAGTTGACAAGGAGTGGACTTGTGATGGTTAATACTGAGTGTCAACTTGATTGGATTGAAGGATGCAAAGTACTGATCCTGCATGTGTCTGTGAGGGTGTTGCAAAGGAGATTAACATTTGAGTCAGTGGGCTGGGGAAGGCCCACCCACCCTTAACTGGGTGGGCACAATCTTATCAACTTCCAGTGAATATAAAGCAGGCAGAAAAATGTGAAAAGGAGAGAGATGAGAGATGGGCCTAGCCTCCCAGTGTACACCTTTCTCCCATGCCAGATGCTTCCTGCCCTTGAATATCAGACTCCAAGTTCTTCAGTTTTGGGACTTGGACTGGCTCTCCTTGCTCCTCAGCTTGTAGACAGCCTATTGTGCAACCTTCTGATCGTGTAAGTTAATACTTAATAAACTCCCCTTTATATATATCCTATTAGTTCTGTCCCTCTAAGAGAAGCCTGACTAATACAATCCCCATGTTGGAAGCCTGGACCTCCACTGTACAGAATTATTGAGGAAGGACAATAGGGTCTGGAGGCAGCAAACCTAAAGGCTGCACGCCAACTTCCTAGAACTAAATGGAAAGGAAACCCCTAACTTTCCACACACATAAGAAACAAAAGGACCAGAGGCTACTCCCTTTGACCTTTTTCTGTGAGGTAGATGGGAAATTGGCTGTCCTCAATGAATCAGACTGATTGCAGGCCAGTCTTTGTTTGCATTAAAGTATAACTTTGAGACCCGGCGTGGTGGCTCATGCCTGTAATCCCAGCACTTTGGGAGGCTAAGGCAGGTGGATCACCTCAGGCCGGGAGTTCGAGACTGCCTGACCAACATAGAGAAACACTGTCTCTACTAAATATACTAAATTAGCCAGGCGTGGTGATGCATGCCTGTAAACCCAGCTACTCGGGAGGCTGAGGCAGGAGAATCGCTTGAAACCAGGAGGTGGAGGTTCAAGAACCAAGATTGCTCCATTGCACTCCAGCCTGGGCAAGAAGAGCGAAACTCCATCTCAAATAAAAAAATAAAATAAAATAAAATAAAAAAAGAAGAAGAAGTATAAGTTTGTAACTTTACCCTAGCCTCTGATTGGGTGCTTTTTGCTGCAACCAATCAGACTGATTGCAAGCTGCCCCTTTATTTACATGAGATGAGCATGAAGTCATCAATAGGAAACTTCTAGAGGGTATTTGGACCCAAGAAGATTCTGTATCGGGGCCCTTGAGCAGCTGCTTGGGCCACTCCTGCGCTGTGGAGTGTACTTCTTCTGTTGCTTCGTTCTTTCTTTGATTTGCTAGGCGTTTTGCCCAATTCTTTGTTCAAAATGCCAAAAACCTGGACAACTTGTAGTCACAACCCTCTGGTGGTAACATGATTTCCCTTCATTACCAATCATAACCACCTTCTAATTCTTCTGGGGTTTTTGCTGGTTTTTAGTTTCCTTCATTACACTCATTTATTTCTTCCTTCTGAGGTGTCTTCCGGTTTACACTGGGGGAGGCAGACTGTGCCACTTTGCCATCATGTTAGGGGACCATAATTATGTCCCTTTCACGACTCAGCCTACCTCAGGGTTGTTGAAGCTTTGTGTTTCCAGTTGTCTAGAGCAGAAGATACTCTTTCTTCATAGTAGTAGTCCAGAAATGAAGATGTTCAACCTGAAGAACTACAGGCAGAATATAAAAGCAAAGGAAACACAAAGCAATATATACGCACAAAAGAGAACAAAATAGGCATTTTACTGAAAGATATTGAAATGTACTTTCAATATGCTTGTATTTAATTTTACAGTCCTTTGGGAATCTTCTTAACCCTGGAAATGAAACAAGAAAATTAACCTCATTATAAATTGCTTTAAACACATTTGTGGGAATATAGGTGAGTCATAGGGAAAATAAAAGTGCCTCCAGAACTCACAAAGTTAAACTAGTAAAATCTGTATGTAATCCTTTTGTTTGTTTGTTTGTTTTTGAGACAGGGTCTCCTACTGTCACACAGGCTGTAGTACAGTGGTGCCATCTCAGCTCACTGCAACCTCTGCTCCCCAGGCTCAAGCAATCCTCCCACCTCAGCCTCCCAAGTAGCTAAGACCACAGGTGCACACCACCGCACCTGGCTGTTTTTTTGTACTTTTGGTACAGACTGGGGTCTTGCCATGTTGCCCAGGCTGGTCTTGAACTCCTGAACTCAAGCATCTAAGTTCAGGAGTTCCTTGGCCTCCCAAAGTGCTGGGATTACAGGTGTGAGCCACTGTGACTGGCCTGTAATCCATATACATAAAGTTACCATAAAGGTGACAGAATGCCTCGAAGACCCAAAATCAGGAAGAAAAGGACTTGGCAATACCTTATTACTTATTAGACAGTATTCTTATACCTAAAGTTAGAACATGGCTTAAATATTGATAATTAATGATGGTTATTTCCAAGGATAGACCCGTCTGTATTTTTTAAATTTTCGGTGAACATGCATTACTTATGTAATTGGAAAAAACTGAATATTATTTTAATGGAATTTTCATAGGAAAATAATTATATAAATATACAAAGTACTGCAAAGATATTTGGTGTAGCATTGTTTGCAATGTAGGAAAATATCCAAATTTCTATCAGTAGGAGAACAATTCAATAAATTACGATATATCTATACAATGGGCCAGGTGTGCCTGTAATCCCAGCTACTTGGGAGACTAAAGCAGGAGGATCACTTGACCCCAGAAGTTCGAGGTTACACTGAGCTATGATTGTGCCACTGCACTGTAGCCTGAGTGACAGAGCAAGACCACATCTTTAAAAACAAACAAAAACTACAGATATACAATGAATATCATGCAACCAACAAAATGATGATGTAGCTCTATATTTATTAGCATAGAAAAATTTCAAAGATGTACTGTTTAATGAAACATATAGTAGGTTTTTTTTATTTTATTTTATTTTTTATTTTGAGACACAGTCTTTGTTGCCCAGGCTGGAGTGCAGTGGCGTGATCTCGGCTCACTGAAACCTCTGCCTCCCAGACTCAAGCCATTCTCATGCCTCAGCCTCCTGAGTAGCTGGGACTACAAGTGTGTGCTACCATGCCCAGCTAATTTTTTATATTTTTAGTAGATACAGGGTTTCACCAAGTTGGCCAGGCTGGTCTCGAACTCCTGGCTTCAAGTGATCCACCTGCCTCAGTCTCTCAAAGTTCAGGATTATAGGCATGAGCCACCACTCCTGGCCTCAAAGTAGGTTTTAAAACATATCCAGGCCGGGCACGGTGGCTCATGCCTGTAATCCCAGCCCTTTGGGAGGCCAAGGCAGGTGGATCACCTGAGGTCAAGAGTTCAAGACCAGCGTGGCCAACATGGTGAAACCTTGTCTCTACTAAAAATACAAACAAAATTAGCTGGGCGTGGTGGCATGCACCTGTAGTCCCAGCTACCTGGGGAGGCTGAGGAGAATCGCTTGAACCCAGGAGGCAGAGATTTCAGTGAGCTGAGATTGCACCACTGCACTCTAGCATGGATGACAGAGGGAGACTCTGTCTTGAAAATAAATAAATAAAAATAAAATAGTAAACTGGAAATAAGAGTCTGCAGAGATTTAGCATGAGTAAGAAGTGGTTAGGTCAGAAGGATATCTGACACTTGAAGCTAGTAATGGAATGTAAGGAAAGTGAAACTTAAAAATTTATGTATTTCATCCCAAGGCCCTATAATCATTAAATTAGCAATATTATCCCTCAAAATAACCTAAATTAATTAGTTTAATCACTATAAAAGGGAAAACGGGAGACCAGAAAAAATGTTGCTTTCTGATTATAACCTATGAGTCATGCTTATTCAACTTAATTGTTACATTTGGTTTAATAATTTTTTTTCCATAAACTTATGCTCATGATATATGACTTTATACTGTATACATCAAATAGTAATATTTTTCCTAATGTTTTGCTGTATTATAGAATTTTAAATGTCTTATTTTATGGTGTCTGCCACCTGGACAAATTTGTGAATTAATACTACTTATTTTTTTTGAGACAGAGTCTCACTTTATTGCCCAGGCTGGAGTGCAGTGGCACAATCTGGGCTCACTGCAACCTCCACCTCTTGGGTTCCAGCAATTATCCTGTCTCAGCCTCTGAGTAGCTGGGATTACAGACGTATACCACCATGCCCAGCTAATCTTGTATTTTAGTAGAGACAGGGTTTCACCATGTTGGCCAGGCTGGTCTGAAACTCCCGACCTCAGATGATCCACCCGCCTTGGCCTCCCAAAGTGCTGGATTTACAGGCATGAGCCACCGCACCTAGCCTAACACTATTTCTTACTTCAGGACTTAGATTTCACCAAAATAAATCAGACTGCTTCTGTGAAGTCTTTAAGATTAACAAAAGTTCAATTTTCTAAATTCCTGATTTTGAATATTAAATAATTATCTGTCCTGAAAGAGTTAACGCAGACTCCAAAGCCCTTATTTCCTCTGGAATAATTTCCAGTGGTGTAAGTGAGAATCTGGTTCAACAGATTTTGGAAATGTGGAGTCATCTCTTCAGTATAACCTAGGAAATAAACACCTAATTTACTCAATTTGGGTCTAGATATGATAATTGCACTTAAGGTCATGTCACTGAATCATAATATGGAGAAAAGCATTCTACAATGGTCTTTCTGGTACTTCTATTAGCAAATCCCTAAGGATAGAATTTAAAATGGACCTATCTAGTGTTAGATTAGGTTCATGGTATTATAATTGGTTTTTTGTTTGTTTTATATTACTCAGTGATGACATCTACAGGCCTATGATGAGAAACACTAACAGACTAATGCTGAATTTACCTGTACTATTTTATGGCTGGTGTCAGTCTAACCTCATACCAAACATTACTTTTGGTTGATGTAGTACCAATTTCTCCTGTACGTGGTGCTACAGGAGAAAGTCAAGTTAGGGAACCAAAAGGTATATGATCAAAGGCCCAACTACCAGAGCGCTTCCAGTCCATAACTTACTGTGACTGGAGGGATGCAAGAGATTTTCGGAAGGTAGACTGCACCTCTAACTGAAGCAGCCTGGGAATATCTGGGTACCCACCCAGCTGGGCCCAGAGTGAATGCATAGATGTCTTCTCTGCTATTGGGTAGCTTGAAGTGGACAGATCAACATTCCAGATGGGCTGTGTCTGGTCCTCTTGTTGTCTACAGAATCAGAGAGCATAAGTTGGGAATGCCAAATTCTCCTGAGCTCCATAGCCCATCAAAATATATCTTATTCTCCCTTCTTCACTACCACCTCATCCCGTAATGCCCTCCCCTTGCACTGACCAGCATTAGCTATGCCCACTCTGACAGAGAGATGGATGAAAAAGCAGAATTTGCTGAGTTACCAAAGCTGCATTTTCATGACTTCACCTAGTAATCCATTTTACAACTACCATTTTAGCTTCATGGTGTAGAGAGACCACATAACTTTCCCCCTTCCTTCCCAAAGCTCCTGCCTCCTTAAAAAAAAAATAGAAGAAAAAAAGAAGATAATGCTTCTAAGTTTCTTTATTAACTATTCTTAAAAGAATGAGTTTTTTAGTAAGAAAGACTCTACTTTATTTTTAGAGGAACTCAAAATCCAATGTTAAATATTTAAGTAGAAATATATGCCAACTTAGCTAAGGGAATTAATACTCCTTTTTTTTTTTTTGAGACAGTTTCACTCTTGTTGCCCAGGCTGGAGTGCAATGGCACGATCTCGGCTCACCGCAACCTCGGCCACCCAGGTTCAAGTGATTCTCCTGCCTCAACCTCCCAACTAGCTGGGATTACAGGCATGCGCCACCACGCCAGGCTAATTTTGTACTTTTTTTAGTAGAGCTGGGGTTTCTCCATGTTAGTCAGGCTGGTCTTGAACTCCCAACCTCAGATGATCCACCTGCCTCGGCCTCCCAAAGTGCTGGGATTACAGGCATGAGCCACCGTGCCCAGCCTAATACTCCTTTAGACTCTCCATTGCACCATTTGATAATTGTGAAGAAAGGGAAGTTCTTGGGCAGGGAAAAAAAATTAGGTCCCACATATCGTCCAAACAAAGTTTAATATCAGTCTTTCTAGCACATACCTAAATTTCTTGAATATGTCAGAGGTTCTGTCTTCTTCCACTAGTAATTTTAAGAATGGCTTTTGAACAAATGTGGTAGCGGCAGGTATCTGCTTTTCTTCGACGATTAAGGGGATAGGTTGACTAAGATTCAATTCATATATCTTTTTGAGCTATAAAAAAATAGATCAGAAAAAGGAAACCATGAAAAGAGACAGAATCTTTAGAAGAGTCTTCAGAGCTGGCCCTACACTAAACTGTGACTCCTCCTTTTCCATGGATTTGCAAATCCTTTCCCTACTCCACCCACCTCCAACATGCATCATTTCAAGAGGTGGCAGCTCTGCTACATAAAAACCTTGGTCCTACGTAAGCTCAAATCCTGGTCCTCTCATTTTCTTGCTGTGAGACTTTGGGATAGTTGCTTATCTACACTTCTTTCTCCTCATTTCTAAAACAGGGATAATAACACAGAGTTGTTGTGAGAATTGTAAAACACAGTGTATATGGAAGCACTTTATAAATTGTGAAGCAGTATGCAACTGTAATGATAGCCATCATTTACTAAATACTTACTGAATGTCAGACACTGAACTAAGCCATCTCCATATATTAGCTGATTTGGTATTTGTAATAACCTTATGCGGTATGTGTTATTATTACCCTTGTCTTACAGCAGGAGAATCTGAGGCTCAGAAAATGTAAGCAGCTTGCATAAAGTCACTTAGCTAGTATGTAGCTAGGCTGATTTGAACCCAGACAATCTGGTAGCGGAGCTAGCCATCTTGAGCACCACGCTGATTCAGTGCAAAGTATTCATTTATATTTAACCTCTTATCCCTTTTGCTTTTTTTGTCTCCTTTCTCCAAGCCTTGATACCCATACCTCATCCTCTGGATTCTTGCTTCCCTGGCCCCAGACCCTTATTCCTCCTCTGAAATGCCCTAGGCATTGTGATTCCTGTTAGACAACGCATATTGCTGCCAACCCATCTTGCTTTACTCTACGTACATTGGCCATATTTGCCAAATCAAAGAAAGGAGCATATTCATTTTTTTTTTTACAAAGAGCTGTAATATTTAAAATATAACTGTTCTGGGCCGGGCGCAGTGGCTCACGCCTGTAATCCCAGCACTTTGGGAGGCTGCCGTGGGCGGATCACTTGAGGTCAGGAGTCCAAGACCAGCCTGGCCAACATGGTGAAACCCCGTCACTACTAAAAATACAAAAATTAACCAGGCATGTTGGCGGGCACCTGTAATCCCAACCACTCAGGAGGGTGAGGCAGGAGAATCACTTGAACCCAGGAGGCGGAGGTTGCAGATCACACCACTGCACTCCAGCCTGGGTGACACAGTGAGAACTTGTCTCAAAAATAAGTAACTAAATAATAAAATAAAATAAAACAGTTCTGGAAAATTTATATGTTTGACTTGGATGATAATTTGGATTAGAATCTGATGAGAAGCCTCTCTGTACCTTCCAAAGTAGCAAGTAAACTAATCTTATAAACTAATCGACGCTGAGAGAGAAGGATATACAGATATAAAATGTTTCTAGAACCACAGCTTGTAATATTTATTATTAGAATTCAGGCCAGGCATGGTGGCTTACACCTATAATCCCAACACTTTGGGAGGTTGAGGCGGGTGGATCACCTGAGGTCAGGAATTCAAAACCAGCCTGGCCATCATGGTGAAACACCATCTCTACTAAAAATATAAAATGTAGCTGGGTGTGGTGGTGGGCACCTGTAATCCCATCTATTCAGGAGGCTGAATCAGGAGAATCGCTTGAACCCAGGAGGTGGAGGTTGCAGCAAGTCAAAATAGTGCCACTGCACTCCCTGGGAGACAGAGCAAGACTGTCTCAAAAAAAAAAAAAATGCCATTTGAAAGATGGAGGCAGAGATTGGAATTATGTGGCTACAAACTGAGGAATGCTAAGGATTGCCCATAGCCACCACAATCTAGGAGAGAAGCATGCAACAGAATGCCCTCTCAGAGCTTCTAGAAGGAACCAACCCGGCAGACACCCTGATTTCACTAACTTCTGGCCTCTAGAACTGTGAGAGAGTAAATTTCTGTTGTTTTAAGCTGTGAAGTTTGTGGTGATTTGTTACAGCAGCCCAGGAAAGTAATATAACATAGTGTCTCCAAGTAAATGTCATTTACAGAGCTTACCACTTTCACGTTTTTACAACATGCTGGAGAGAGGGAGTGGAAAGCAAGTTACCTGGTTGAATACATGTATCATTTTCTTCAGGCACTGATTCCGTTTCTTCCCTAGAGACTTCTGCTTCTCAGTCCAGACCTGCATCACCTTTTTCCTGTAGTCATCAAGTCTGCTCAGCATCACGTGGAGGTTCCTGGCCTCATAGCCTTTCCCAGTATTTTGGATGGCTTTTAGTCGTTTCATTATGTTGTTCCTTGAAAAGATTAATAAGAATTAGAATGATAATAGTTTCAGACCCTACTTCAGCAAACTTGTCCTCAGTTTCTTTTTTTTGAAACGGAGTTTCGATCTTGTTGCCCAGGCTAGAGGTACCATGGCGCGATCTTGGCTCACTGCAACCTTCGCCTCCCGGATTCAAGAAATTATCCTGCCTCAGCCTCCCAAGTAGCTGGGACTACAGGCATGCACCACCGCGCCCGGCTAATTTTTGTATTTTTAGTGGAGATGGGGTTTCTCCATGTTGGTCAGGCTGGTCTCAAACTCCTGACCTCATGATCCACCTGCCTTGGCCTCCTAAAGTGCTGGGATTGCAGTCGTGAGCCGCTGAGCACGGTCTATTTTATTTTATTTTATTTTATCTTATCTTGTCTTTTTTATTTTATTTTATTTTTCTGATACAGAGTCTAACTCTGTTGCCCAGGCTGGAGTGCAGCGGCATGATCTTGACTCACTGCAACCTCTGCCTTACGGGTTCAAGTGATTCTCATGCCTCAGCCTCCCAAGTAGCTGGGAATACAGGTGTGCACCACCACGCCCAGCTAATTTTTGTATTTTTAGTAGAGATGGGGTTTTGCCATGTTGTCCAGGCTGGTCTTGAACTCCTGACCTCAAGCGATCCTCCTGCCACAGCCTCCCAAAATGTTGAGATTACAGGAGTGAGCCACTATGCCCGACCTGTCCTCAGTTTCTTTCAATTTTCTCATCATCCCCAGTAAGCAGAGAAGGATGGGAAGCTTGCTTAATAAGACTTTAATCCAGTTCCTATGAACGAACCTTCAAAAATCTATATGATATCAAAATTTTCATTAAGTCTTTACCAAGTTTCCAGTGTTAAAATAGTGTTGCTTACAATTATTTTAATATATTTTAAAAGTTATGCCAGGTGAAGTAGCTCATGCCTGTAATCCCAGCACTTTGGGAGGCTTAGGTGAGAGGATCGCTTGAGGCCAGGAGTCTGCAACCAGCCTGGACAATATAGTAAGACTCCATCTCTACAAAACAAAAATAGCTGGGCATGGTGGCACATACCTGTAGACACAGCCACTCAGGAGGCTGAAGCGAGAGGCTTGCTTGAACCTAGGGAGTTCGAGCCTGCAGTGAGTTATGATCACGCCACTACATTTGCCTTTTTGTTAAGGGCAAGACTCCAGCTCTTAAAAAAAATAGTTAAATGTGGCTATTTGTAATAAAAATTACCTTAGGGAGCCGGGCGCGGTGGCTCAAGCCTGTAATCCCAGCACTTTGGGAGGCCGAGACGGGCGGATCACGAGGTCAGGAGATCGAGACCATCCTGGCTAACACGGTGAAACCCCGTCTCTACTAAAAATAAAAACCCTCTACTAAAAAACAAAAATAGCCTGGGCGGGTGGCGGGCGCCTGTAGTCCCAGCTACTCGGGAGGCTGGGGCGGAGAATGGCGTGAACCCGGGAGGGGAGCTTGCAGTGAGCTGAGATCCGGCCACTGCACTCCAGCCTGGGCGCAGAGCGAGACTCCGTCTCAAAAAAAAAAAAAAAAAAAAAAAAAAATTACCTTAAGAATAAGATAGATCATTTTTCATAGTCAGATATGTTAAACACATAAAGTAAGCCAGCAGTGTCTACGCTGTAATCCAGCAGTTTGGGAGCCAAGGCGGTGGATCACAGGTCAGGAGTTCAGACAGCTGGCCACATGGGAATCCGTCTCTACTAAAAACACAAAAATTAGCCAGGCGCAGTGGCAGGCGACTGTAATCCCAGCTACTCGGGAGGCTGAGGCAGGAGAATCGCTTGAACCCGGGCAACAGAGGTTGCAGTGAGCGGAGATCGTGCCATTGCACTCCAGCCTGAGCAACAGAGTGAGATCCCGTCTCAAAAAAAAAAAAAAATGACAATAGAAAGTACTTAATACAATTAGGGAAAAGACAGTGTCCTTGCCTTCAAAAGCACTTATAATCCAGAATAGGAGACTAAGTTACTTGTAAAGAAAAGAAATAGAATAAATGCTAAATAGAAATATAATCAGGCTGCAGGAGCAAAAAGGAAAGCATCATTAATTCTAGTAAGAGTAATAAGGCCAGGCGCAGTGGCTCACGCCTGTAATCCCAGCACGTTGGGAGGCCGAGGTGGGCAGATCACAAGGTCAGGGGCTCGAGACCAGCCTGGCCAACATGGTGAAACCCTGTCTCTACTAAAACATACAAAAATTAGCCGGGTGTGATGGCGGGCATCTATAGTCCCAGCTACTCGGGAGGCTGAGTCAGGAGAATCACTTGAACCTGGGAGATGGAGGTTGCAGTGAACAGAGATTGCATCATTGCACTCCAGCCTGGGTGACAGAGTGAGACTAAAAAAAAAAAAGAGTAATAAAGAAAGCTTTATAGGAAGATGTCAAGCAGAATTTTGAGGGACAGTCATAAAAAGATTCTCCCTTTCTCTCTCTCTCCCCACTGCCCTCCTATAATGTATTCCACCACATTTTGGTGGTCCTAAACAGAGTTTGGCCATCCTCATTCTACAGGAGAGGAAAAGAAATCTCAGCAAAGTTAAATATTTTTTCTAATGTCCCATAAATGATAAACGGTAGATTTGGGAAGCAAGCCCAGATCTTCTTTCTTCCATAATGCCAATATTTCTCAAGGTGCGGACTCTGATCACCTAGACTGAATCATAAGGGGGAGACGGGTGGGGGGCTTGTTGAAAATGCAGGTTCCAAGGTACTTCTCCATACCTTTTGAATCAAAATCTTAGTGGTAGGCTTCAGGAATCTGCATTTTAAAATCTCAGGTAACTCTTACTTTACTAAAGTTTGAAAACCATTGTGCTTACGAACAGAACAGAGAAGAAGGGGATGAGGAAGTCCAAGTGGAGAAATCCCATAAATAAAGGTAAGAAAACCAAAGTTATATTTTGAGAGTGATGAGTAGTCTGGGGTTTTTGACCACAGATATGTGAAAGGATATAGTAGGGGATGAGACTGGAATGGTTGGATTATGAATGGCTTTAAAAGGTATGTTAAGGAGTTTGGATCTTCTCTTTTTTTTTTTTTTTTTTTGGTAGATGATGGGGACTCATCAAAGATATTTTTCTGAATATATGTATTTTATATATATGCATATATATATATATATATATAGCCTCGGGTGAATCAGTAAGATTTACCTGAGATTTTATTTATCCATCCATCTCTCTCTATATTGAGAGAGAAGAGAGAAAGAATAATTCTTAGCTCTTAGATTTCTTTTATGGGTTATAATGAATGCTTTAGAACCTACTATATATGGATCATTTAATACTTAAATTATTATCTTTGTATTTAATATTTAAATGTATTAGATTTTTTAATTTTCCAATAAGCCTCTTCACACCAAATATTTCCTGACATTTTTCTGTCTAATTACACAGGCTTTTGAGATTTCCTTATCATTTTTTCTTACTGAAATCATATTTCACTGCTTGGAAAAGTTTAGTTTAACTTCAAACTTAGGGACTTTATTGTTGGATGTAGTTTTAGAGATAATTATTATTATTATTTTTTTTTCCAACAGGGTCTCTCTTTGTCACCCAGGTTGCAGTGGCACGATCTTGGCTCACTGCAGCCTTGACTTCGTGAGCTCAAGTCATCCTCCTGCCTCAGCCCCCTAAGTAGCTGGGACTAGAGGCACATCATCAGGCCTGCCAATTTTTTTTTTTTTTTTTTTTTTTTTGATAGAGATGGAGTTTCACCATGTTGCCCAGGCTGGTCTTTAACTCCTGGGACCAAGTGATCCGCCCACCTTGGTTCCCAAAGTTCTGGGATCATAGGCATGAGCCTGGTGAGATAATTCTTTTTTAATAATCTGAAGACTGGGCGCGGTAGCTCACGCCTGTCATCCTAGCACTTTGGGAGGCTGAGGCGGGTGGATAACAAGGTCAAGAGATCAAGACCATCCTGGCCAACATGATGAAACCCCGTTTCTACTAAAAATACAAAATTTAGCTGGGCATGGTGGCGAGTGCCTGTAGTCCCAGCTACTCGGGAGGCTGAGGCAGGAGAATTCCTTGACCTTGGGAGGCAGAGGTTGCAGTGAGCCGAGATGGTGCCACTGCACAGCAAAACTCCTCAAAAAAAAAAAAAAAGCCGGTGCCACCTGACCAGACTAGGAGCGGCAAAACAGAGACGAAACTCCGTCTTAAAAAAACAAAAATACGGCCGTCCAGTACTGAGGGTGAACCGGGAGCGAGTTGCAGAGCGAGATCGCCACTGCACTCCAGCTGGCAAAGCGAGATCCGTCAAAAAAAAAAAAAAAAAAATCTGAATATTCAATCCAGTAGTAACCATGGGGGTATCTTACTATTTAAAAGCCTATGTCTAGAATCATGGCTATTCATCCTCCTTACATTTTGTTTCCACTCTCTTAGCCCATCCCACTTATGTTGATAAAACATTGCCCTGTCCTAAGGAACACTGATTTTTAGATGGAGATTCTTTACATTTACTGAGCATCTACTATGGTAATACTACAACTGTACTACGTATGTTATTTTATTTAACCCTTTCAACCTTTTATTTGTTTTAATTTATTTTATTTTATTTTGAGACAGAGTTTCTCTCTTGTTGCCCAGGCTGGAGTACAATGGTGCAATCCCAACTCACTGTAACCTCTGCCTCCCAGGTTCAAGCAATTCTCCTGCCTCAGCCTCTTGAGTAGCTGACATTACAGGCTGCACCACCACGCCCAGCTAATTTTTGTATTTTTAGCAGAGACGGGGTTTCACCATGTTGGCTAGGCTGGTCTTGAACTCCTGACCTCAGGTGATCCACCCACCTCAGCCTCCCAAAGTGCTTAGATTACAGGTGTGAGCTACCATGCCTGGCCTCAACCATTATTTGAAGTAAATATTATTATATCCATTTTACATGCAGCACATTTAAGTCTCAGAGAAGTTCTGGAAATTTGAACTAAGATCTGTCTGACTTCAAAGCCTATGTTTAAGAGAAAGCATGATTAGGATTTGA